ATGAAAGTAGTTGCTACAGGCTCTTCTCCGACGTACCCCTCAATTGGACCGGGGCTGATTTAGCTTGTCGAGCCGCGGATCAGCCCTCAGCCCGCCTTGTGTCTGTCTTGAACGCCAAGGAGGAGGCGTTTGTGCGGAGTCTGGCCTCAGACAAACCCTTCTGGATCGGACTCAGCGCATCAGGTGGTTACCCATCCTTGCTATCGATCGCCTCTTGCCTCCCATCATAATTTCCTACTTTTTCGTTGTTTTACTTACGCAAAGCGTCAGCAGTGCCTTGCCTGACCTCACCATATTTCCAGGCGGGTTAGTTTTACCAGAAAAAAATATTTTGGTTTGTGTGCTATGTGCGTGCATGCTCTGGAAGCCAACGGCACAGGTCATTTCTCTTTTAGAATAACCATTAGGACACATTAGCTAATTTTGGGTGTTACTGCGGCTTGTGCGATCTCAAGCACTGGTGGGACTCTAGGTCTAATCGTTAATATACACGGGATCCGGATATGTTATTTCGTTCATCATCTCCCGAAGGGGAAGGTAAAGAGGAGGCATGTCCTGGGACCGAGTTATATTCATTCTGATGTTTCGGAGCCTTTCTCGCTTCCATCATCAGAATGTAGTTGCTGCGCCTGGCGGTCATATACGATACGCCTAGACTGCGTGCTATATTCTTTAAAAACACAAAGGCCATATCATATTATACCAGTTACTGGTCTTAGTAACTATGGTTACTAGAATTAGCAGTTTAGCATAGGCAAGTACCTATAGCAGCATTATCTTAGCCCTCGTAGTCCCACACCTAGTTGAAACGGACACAGCCTGGGAGGAGAGAGTTGAGAGGGCGGAAAAAATGGCAAGCCCTGATGTTCTCAGGGCCTTAAACATGTATTTAGTCGAAATAACATAAAACCAGATTTCCCACTCCTGATTGGGAACAAAGGAGATATGAGCCATAGCGTTGATTTCAAATCAGCGTCACTTCTAACAAATGTTAGTATCAGAAATAGTACCAGTACTACTCAGACTCGGCTACACTGATAGTCAGACGTAGTAGAAGTAGTAGTAACCATATCATTGTCGGCCTCCTTTGGCCTGTCTTCACACCTACTAAGGGTGAGTGAGGGTAGAAAGTACACTAGTACCCCCGCAAAGTGTACGGTCACTTAAGGCTAAGTTGGGCGGTGTTTCGGCTTGCATTGGAGAAAG